ACTGAGGATGCCACTGTTCGCTCACAGTGGGCCACACGCGATGCTGCTTGCACGTCTTGCTGTGCGTCGCCACCTCCCTCCCTCTGAGCGTGCACACTTTGGGTCGTACAAGAGTGCTCAGACCTTGTACGACGCCGTTATTGCACGCTACTCCACCCCTGCCACTGCTGCACTGAGCCGCCTCATGCTACCGTACCTCTTTCCGACCTTGCTTCTTTTGCCACAGTCGCCGACCTCATTACCCCCTGCGCACTAGTGACGCTCGCTTCCGCGCTGCGCTTCCTGCTGAGTTCTGCGCCAAGAACCCCCCCCCCCAGTACTTCATCTCTACTACATTGTCAACCCGCCTCCCTGACTCCCTCCGGGAGTCAGGGACGACTTACTCTCGTCTGCCCCACCACTCTCACTGTTAACCTCCTCGAGAAGTCCTCCTGCACCGAGAAGAGCATTCTCGCTGTAGGGCCTCTCGTGGTGACCCGCGCACCCCCATCTTTGAGGGGTGTTCCCCCCTCCCCCCTCCTGCCCTCTGTCGCCTCTGCTGCTACGGCCGACCTAGTTGGTTTTGAGTCGGTCGGTGCGGCGTCTGCCCCCAGTGGGAGACGTCGCTCTGGCAAGGGCAAAGGGGGCTGGAGCGGTGGTGGAGGCGGCGGGGGCGGTGGGAGCGGCGGTGGAGGCAGCGGAGGAGGTGGGGGTGGTAGCGGGAGTGGTGTCGGGGTGGAGGTGTCAGCGGCGGCAGTGGAGGCGGGGTGGGCAGCGGCGGTGGTGGTGGGAGTGGAGGCGGAGGCGGCGGTGGCGGCAGCGACGGTGGGAGTGGCGGTGGCAGCGGAGGTGGTGGCGGCGCGGCGGAGGAGGCGGCGGAGAAGGTCGTGGCTCTTCGCAGAGGAGTGGCTCCGGTGGCGGTCAGCGCCAACAGCAGCGGCAGCAGCGTGTCAGGAGACCCTCTCCCCGCAGCAGCTCCGTGAGTGGTACGCTGCACGTCAGAGGGGTGGGGGTACTGGTCCGTGCACCTACGTCTTGCGCACGGGCGACCGTGCGGGTGAGCCGTGTGGTGGTCCCACCCCGCCCAGCGCTGCTTCGGCCGCCTGACTGACGCTTGGCGCCGCCAGTTTCCTGACGCCTCTGAGATCCCTCGCTGGGACCAGCTGTCTAGGGCAGGAGTAGCTATCTTTGATCTTGACTTTGATGCTATTCTTGCTGCCATGTATGCTGTGACTATTAGTGAGGAGGGTGACTGTTACCGGTGTTTCCCGCCCGACCCGGGCATTGGTACTGCGGCTCTAGGTGCTGTTGAGGCTGCTGCTCCAGGTGCTGGTGAGGCTGTCGCTCTAGGTGCCAGTGAGTCTGTGTCCTCAGGTGCTGGTGAGTCTGCTCTCTCAGGTACTGCGTCGGCTCCGCCCTCTCTCACCTTCACTCTGACTCAGGGGCGTCTCGCTCCTTCTTTCGAGACCGCACCACACTCACGCCGCTTAGTCGGCCAGTGGCGGTCTCCCTGGCGGACCCCTCTGGGGGTCCTGTTCTGGCTCGCTACTCCACTGTCCTGCCGTGCCCTGCGGTCCCGTCTGGCGCCCTGTCCGTCTCTACCTCCCCTCGTTCTCTACGAACTTGGTGGCGGGTGCTGACCTACAGGATGCAGGGGTCGACCAGTTCACCCGCACGCCGACGGGACACCCACTGCCCGGACGCGGACAACGGGTCGACACTTGACCACGTTCACACGTGGGCCGGGGTCGAGCCTGTACACACTCACTGTTCCGTCTCCTCCTCCTGCGTCTGGTCAGTAGCTGCGTCGGGTCAGGTGTTTGCTGCAGCGTCCAGGTCTGGTCCTGATTCTGCCCCCGCTCGGTGTCGCCTCCTGTCCCACGAGACCCTCCTGTGGCACCACAGGATGGGTCACCCCTCCCTGCCTCGTCTCCGGGGCATGGCCTTCTCGCCTTCTTGTCTCTGGCCTTCCCCGGTCCCTCCCTCCCCTTCCTCCGGGGCCTGGCCTCCTTGTGTCCCCTGTGTCGAGGGTCGCCTGCGGGCTACCCCTCACTCCTCCCCGTTTCCTCCGACGGAGGCCCCGATGCAGACGCTTCACATGGACGTGTGGGCCCAGCCCGCGTCCGTGGACAGGGTCACAAGCGCTACTTTTTCCTGCTGGTGGTTGACGACTACTCGCGTTACACCACAGTCTTCTATCCCCTTGCGCAGCAAGGGTGAGGTCACGAGGTGTTGATCCGCGCAGCTCGTCTGCTCAGCTCGTTCCCCTGCGCAAGAAAAGGATCCGCGCAGCTCGTCTCCAGCTCAGGCGGAGCTTCGGCTCGGACTTTCCTGTTTTGCGTCTGCACTCGGACAGAGGCGGAGAGTTCTCCTCCGCCTTCTGCAAGCCTACTGTCGGCACGAGGCATCCGCCAGACCTTCACGCTTACGGACTCTCCACAGCAGAATGGGATTGCTGAGCGCCGCATCGGCATTGTCATGGACGTCGCCCGTACGTCCATGGTGCATGCGGCTGCCCCCCATTTTCTGTGGCCGTTTGCGGTTCGTACGCCGCACATCAGATCAACCTTCAGCCCAGGGTCTCCAGACCGAGACCTCCCCAGCTTTGCTGTGGACGGGGAAGGTTGGCGATGCGTCGGCGTTCCGTGTCTGGGGATCTCGGGCGTTTGTCCGCGACTTGTCTGCGGACAAGCTGTCCCCTCGTGCTGCTCCTTGCGTCTTCCTGGGTTTCCCCCCTGACGCACTCGGTGGCAGTTTTACCACCCACCTCTCGTCGTGTTCTGTCCCCCAGGACGTCACGTTCGACGAGTCGGTTCCCTCTACTACCGGCTCTTCCCCTACCGCACTCCGTCCCTCCCCCCCCCGCCCCTCTTCCTGGTCCCAGGTCCCCCCCCGGTAGACCCCCTCCCCCCTCAGGGTCCTGCCCTTCAGGTGTGTCTCAGGTAGACGCGGTCGAGCCTGTCGAGGTCACTGGTGACTCTGGTGCTGCTGCGGGTGCGGAGCCTCGGGTGCTGAGACTGGGGGTGCTGAGACTGGGGGTACTGAGCCTGGGGGTGCTGAGACTGGGGGTGCTGAGCCTGGGGGTGCTGAGCCTGGGGGTACTGAGCCTGGGGGTGCTGAGACTGGGGGTGCTGAGCCTGGGGTGCTGAGCCTGGGGGGCTGTGCCCTGGGGGTGCTGAGCCTGGGGGTTCTGCGTCTGGGAGTGCTGCGCTTGCTGCTTCTGTTCCTGGTGGTTCTCTGACCGTTCTTCGCGCCGCGAGCCGCTCTCATCCTCTGGAGCTGCGTTGTGGTTTGCCCGGCGCTGGAGGCGAGCTGCTGGAGCTGGGGGTACTGCGGGTGCTGGAGGTTCCGTTCTGCCGAGGGAGCTGGTACCACGGGTCCCGGAGGTGCCGTACTGAGGGTACTAGAGCTGCCGGGCCCGGGGGTGCCTCTGGAGCTGGAGCTGCTGCGGGTGCTGGCGCTGAGACTACGACTGTCGGTCCTACTGCGGGTACTTCTGCAGCTGCTGGTGGTGCTGGAGTTGGAGCTGCTACTGGTGCTGGTGCTGCCTCTGGAGGTGTTGGTCCTGTCCCTGCTGTCTCTGGCGGTGCTGCGCGGCCTCGGCCGTACTTCGTTCCGCTCCTTCAGCAGGTTCTTGGTCTCCCGCCTTCCACTGGTCCTTCTCCTCCCGTAGAGTGTCCACAGCCTGTCCCGTCACAGTCACAGTTACAGCCCGCCTCTCTCCTGCCTTCTCCTTCTCCCTACGCTGGTCCTACTGGAGGTCTTGCTGAGCGTCGTGAGCCTGCGTCCCGCCCTGCGTCGCCAGTCCGAGCTGCTCGCTCTAGTGGTCGCGGTTCCGTCAGCGTCCTCCTCCTGTCCCTGGCACACACCAGATGTCTCTGCGTCCGTCCACTGCTCCTCCTCTGCGTGCCCCTTTGCCTTCTCCTCCTCAGTCTTCTCTTCCTACACTTGCCGACCCGGAGTCGGACTCTCGCCGTGCTGCCAGTCCTACTGTCACGCGTCTTCTTGCTTCTCTTGTCACTGACCCTTCCTTTGAGTCCGCTGCTGCGTCTGCCCTAGTTGCTGAGCTGGTCGACTTTGCTGCTGCGTGTCGTCTGGACTACGCTGCCAGTCTTGTTGCTGAGTCTGCTGAGTCTGCTGAGTCTGCGTCTGCTGCGTCTGCGTCTGCCTGTCTCCGTCCGTCGGGGGTGACTGTGCTCTTAGCACGGACGTCCTTGAGGACAGGCAGGAGGAGTTCCAGTGCTTTGCCGCCGCTTTGCCCCATCTCGTGTCCATGCTTGTTGCCCTGAGGGAGACCCGGATGCTCTAGACATCCCGACCCCACGCTCTTACGCAGAGGCGATGGCCGGTCCCCTACTCATCTCAGTGGCAGTCAGCCATGGGACGCAGAGATGGCTTCCTGGAAGTCCACAGGTACCTACGTTGACGCTGTTACCCCTCCTGGGGCGAACATTGTCAGTGGCATGTGGATCTTCAGGGTGAAGCGGCCGCCGGGTTCTCCGCCTGTCTTCAAGGCGCGCTACGGGCTCGTGGCTTCAGTCAGCGACAGGGAGTTGACTTCTTTCAGACCTTCTCCCCGACCCCGAAGATGACCACTCTTCGGTTCTACTGCACGTCGCTGCTCAGCGTGACTACGAGCTACACTCTCTGACTTCATTCAGCACTGCTTTCCTGCAGGGCCGCCTGCACGAGGAGATCTGGCTGCGCCGCCCTCCTGGCTTCACTGGGTCGTTCCCTCCTGGTACCCAGTGGAGCCTCCAGCCTCCGCGGCCAGTCTACGGTCTCCGCCAGGCGCCGCGTGAGTGGCACGACACACTGAGGACTACACTTGCGGCTCTTGGTTTGCTCCTTCTACTGCTGACCCGTCGCTGTTTCTGCGCACCGACACCTCGCCCCGCCTTCTACATCCTCGTGTACGTCGACGACTTGGTCTTTGCCACTGCGGACACTGCCGCACTCGCCCACTGAAGTCCGAGCTGCAGAAGAGACACACGTGCACAGACCTGGGTGAACTGACAAGCTATCTTGGCTTGCGGATCACCGGGACAGAGCACGCCGCACCATTACCCTGACTCAGTCACACATGGTGCAGCAGGTCCTTCAGCGCTTCGGCTTCACGTACTCCTCGCCTCAGTCCCACTCCTCTGCCTACGGGACACTCGCTCTCAGCTCTGCCTTCGGATGAGTCCGTAGAGTCGAGTGGTCCGTATCCAGAGCTTGTGGGCTGCCTCATGTACCTGATGACTTGCACTCGACCTGACCTCGCATACCCTCACAGCATCTTAGCACGCTATGTTGCTCCCGACCGTCACCGGAAGGAGCACATGGATGCAGCTAAGAGGGTGTTGCGCTACTTGTGCAGTACGTCGGCATGGGCTAGTGCTTGGAGGGCGTGAGCGGCCTGTGCTCACTGGGCACTCAGACGCTTCTTGGGCTGACGACCAGGCTACTCAGAGGCCGTCTCAGGGTTACACCTTCAGTCTTGGCTCTTGCTCTGTCTCTTGGCGCTCTACTCGCTCTTCTTTGGTTCTCAGCTCCACCTGTGAGGCTGAGATCTACGCCACGGCCATGGCTGCCCAGGAGCTTCGCTGGCTCACCTACCTGCTGACTGACCTTGGAGAGCGGCCTCGTTCTCCTCCATTGCTGTACGTCAACAACAAAGGCAACCATTGCTTGTGTGAGGAGCACAGACTGGAGCACAGGACGAAGCACATTGCTCTGCGCTACTTCCTTGCTCGAGAGCTGCAGCAGCGTGGTCAGCTTTGCCTGCGTTTCGTGCCACTGAGGCCAACACTGCTGATGTGTTCACCAAGGCACTTCCGCCTCGTGACCATCAGCGCTTTTGCACTCTGCTAGGCCTTGTGCCCGGGCCTCACTTGCTTACCTCTTGACCTTGCTTGTACTGCTGCATATATATATCCTTGCTCTTGCTTGTTTAGCACTGTTATATATATATGCTCTGCTGCATGTGAACTGGCCTTGTGGCCTTGACCTTGTGCTCCGAATTTGTGTGGTATCCTTGAGATCCACCCTGAGCTTGCTTTGCTTTGCTTTGCTTTGCTTGACTGGTCTTGTGACCCCTTGCTCTCCCCCACTTGCCTATGGGGGTGTGTCAGATGATTATATTACTGATGCATATATTTAGGCTGTAGTGGGGTAGCCCATAGGGGTACAACCCAATTAGGTTGGTACTTGTACTTGTTTCATTTCATAGTGCACCCATTCCTCGCCTCTATCTCAACACCTCGATTATAAGCGCATACCCTAGAGTCGTACGGATTATAGCCGCATACCTGTACCTTACACATTATAACCGCCACTTTTTTTAATATTTCTTTTACAAGCTTCACTAACCACATTAACAACTTATATTTTCATCTAATTAACTACAAAGTCATTTATCTACAGTTTTTTCTAATTACAGTTCTAAATCTACCTACGAGTCTCACAGGCTACAGCAATTTCTAGATCTACGTAATCTAGTCATCAGCTGCGGTAGGATCATCCGGGTCGGCCCAGAGTCCGACTCTGGTTTCTTCTACGTTGTTGCAGAAAAAGCCATCTGCTGCAATGTCGTCGTCGATGTCTATTTCGTCGCCCTCAAGCTCGTCACGCCTGTGTTGTAGGCAGATCTTGTCCTGGGAACCCATCCAGGGCGTTACTAATGCCACAGGTGAGGAAAGCCCGTTGAATCAAGTCCCTGGGCACGGCCTTCCAAGCCGTTGATATCCACTTGAGCGTTAGCTCGGGTGGTGGCTTCTTGATGTTGCCTGCCATAAAATTTAAAACAATCAAAAGTCAGCCACCGCTACAAACTGATAAAGCAGCACACGCATGGCCCTGCCTCTCTCACCTTTCTTTGTCAAGGTGTCGACCCCCTCGCTCTCGAACCACTCCTCCTGGTAGAGCTGGCGAACGGATGCCTTGAAGGAGCGATTCACCGCGACGTCCAGAGGTTGAATCTCCGAGGTGCAGCCAGCTGGGGATAACGGCAGGGACGATGTTCAGCTCCCCGAACTTCTTCTTCACTCCGCAGTCAGGTGCCCGCGGTACGAATCCAAGACGAGCATCGCTTTGCGGGCCTCACTCCGAACTTGGGGTGGACGAACGGCTTCACTGCCCCGTCGAGCCACTCGATGACTCCGTCCGCGTCCATCCAACCGTTGGGATGGACGGACACCGTAACATCTGCACAGCCACAAACGCACATACAACATCAGTAGACATTGAAAAAAAAAAAACATGCAGCAGTGGGTGTTAATGCTCACCTGAAGGGAAATCCCCTTTAGGCAGTGTCTTCCGTTTGAAGAAGACCCACGGCTTCAGCTTCTCACCGCTGGCAGTGCAGGCGAGCATCACCGTAACTCGCTCCTTCTGATAGCCGCCGCTGCGGATAGGCACAGAGCGCAGACCCACCTCCTCGACTGTGGCGTTCGGCAGGCATCTCGAGCCACAGTGGTGTCCTGGTCCGCGTTTATTATCCACTGCGGGTCAATCTTGTATTGGCGGCGGTGTGACGCTACGAACTTCCAGAAATTCCTGACGTCAGTCTCGCAGTCTGGGAGTACGGGTTGGGAGGGAAAGAGAGAATACAGTATTAATGACGCGTTAAAATTCAACCGTGGAAACATGAAGAGACAAACAACACAAAGCAGTACACATTAAACTGCAACCATTTCCCACAAAACTCACTGGCAGCAAGCTTCTGGCCGACCCTGGTCTTCGCTCGGGTTGTCAGATTCCAACGGCGGCGAAACCGCTCAGTCCACCGCTGCGAGCCGGACCACTTTACCTGTGGGTGCAATTCTTTCATCACCTGATGCGACCACTTCTGTAGGCGAGCTCGAGACCGCGAGACATTTTTTACGGTGGGCAAGAAACCTCCTGTAGACTTCAGCTTCCATGTCGCGATACCAACGAGCTCCTTCTGCGCGCCATGAAGACGCTTGCGAGCAGCATGCGCGCCCTCCAGGTCAGCCTTCCGGGTCTTTCCATTCTGCGAGTGACCCTTCGGGAGATGCCGGTTTGGCGAGACATCTGCCGCACGCTCATGTGCCCGGACTCAAGCTTGAGAATCCACTGCAGTTTCTCCTGCGATGTGTAAGAGTGCCGCTTGTGACTTGAAGGCTTGTGCCTGGGGGAGGGAGGACGGGCATCGCGATTCTCGCGAGAAGGGTGGGGCCGTTTCTTATTGGGGGGGGGGAGGTGGGAATAGGCAGGTGCTCTGGAAAAACCGTCGGCAGCCCAAAACTCCACGTCATCCTCCGCACCAGTCGCGGATTCGTCCAACGGGCAATCAGCCGGGGCTCCCCAGCGTGGCGACGGTGCGGAGGAAGACGATGCGCCACCGGGCGCGGTCGGGCTCGGACAGGTACGCGTCAAACGCCGAGTAGCCAGGAGGGAGGAGAAGCTGCAGGACCCCCTGACGTGGAGCACCAAACACAGGCGGGTCAGGAGGGTACGGAGGAGCTGGAGGAACCGGAGGCGCCGGGGGAGCGGGAGGTGCAGGAGGAGTTGGAGGAGTGGGAGGAACGGGAGGAGCTACTGGTTGACACGGAGGGACGGGCGCAGGGCGCGACTGCCATTGAGAGGTAGTCATAGGTGTCTCGGCGGCAGGATGGCGGCGGAACAAGAAATGCGTGCCTGGAAGGCCCGCCATGGCCACGGCAGGCCAAACGAACAAAGAAACTGAAGGCAAAAGTCGAGAAATGAGGGTTGTATGAAGCCCTCGCCCGAGACCCCTTCATTTTCGCGGCCCAGCCTCCTCTGCGGGAAAAGGGTGGCCCCAGTCAAGATTCCCCGCAGAGGAGCTGAGCTGGGCAGCTCCTTGCCTCGGTGGCGGGGAATTTTGCTGTTGATGGGCACACCGTGGCTGAACCACGACGTGCCCACGATCGCATGCAACCCTGATTGGGCCGCTGTGATGCGAGGTACGTGTGCACTGGCATGGGCCAGGTTCACGTTCGATGAACCTGGCCTGGCCAACAAGGCGTGGAAGGCGTGAAGCACGCCTTGTTGGCCGTTTCACGCGCAATGCATGCCAGTTTCGAACGTTTCTCGAACCAGGTGAATCCGCCTTTGAAGAATGCTTCGATTTGGTATATTTAAAAACAAATTTCAAATTTGACAAATATAAACGCCGGCGCTTATAAATTTACTATATTATAAGCCACCACCCTCAAAAAAACATGTTATATTATAGCCCCCCATGGGGGTATATCCGGGGGGTGACGGTATTGTTCCAACATACTAAGGGAATCGAAATCATCTAGTTATGAACCCAACACCAGCTTGAAAATGAAGTTGGGCCTGGCGACGGAAACCATCGCCAGGGCACGGTCGTGCGGGTGCAGCACGTAGAAATGCGACGGCTGAAATGAGTCAGAAATTTCATTTTGGCGGGAGCCAAAAACAGGCAATTTGGCGAGAGCCAACCGCATGAGAGCATTCTGCCCATATGATTCGTTTGGTCAGACTGGTTTCATCTCCTTTCTCAACACCACTTTCAATTTGGGACGGGGATCACTATTTTAGCTGCTGGCTTTAAGAAACGAGTCACAGCACTCTTTCAAGATGGGTTTCACTATTTACTGTAGCACTCTCTTTTTAAGCCGAGTCTAAGGGCGTATTCCTGCACTTCGGGTCATCAGCACTTCGGGCCATCCGAAATTGTGGGATCCAATCGGAAATTCGGAATCAAGAGATCGGGGTGCATTCCGATTTTGTCCGATTGGATCTCACAATCTTGGATGACCCGAAGTGCTGATGACCCGAAGTGCAGGAATACGCCCCAAAATGGCAAATGGTGGTAACCAAGAACGGTACTAGTTGAAGTTTTAAGCATTGTGAAACTGATCGGAAGTGAAATTCACTACCATACAAGAGCCTACAATCACAGTATAGAAGGCTGCTGATTGATACTGCATGTGTGTGAGATGCATGCACAACATTCTGTGCCTCTACACATGCAGCTCATTATCCATGTGCTAATCCCTTGCTACCTTAAATTGGCGCTTGTTCAGAGCTTGAGGAAGACCATTTCCTCGAGGGCGGGGATGGAGTTGATGTCTCTGAGCACCTCGCGGCTGGGCTCCTCGTCCACACCGATGGCCATGAGTGCTTGCTTCCTGGGGCCCGTGCGACCCACACTCATGAAGGAGATGTTGACGTCGTGCGACCCCAGCAGCATGCCCACAGTGCCGATCATGCCGGCTGGTCCACCTGGCGGCACAGCAGCAGGCTGCCCTCCAGCTCGATGTCCGTGCTGAACCGCCCCACCTGGATCAGGTGCGGCACGCCGTCCTTCACCTTGCCGCCCGCGTGATGGTGCCCTCCTCGCTCACAGCGGACGCCAGCTTGGAGCTGACGTGGGTGATCTCGAGCACGATGGTGTCCACGGGCACCGACTCGTCCACGTCCACGGGCTGCCGCTCCTCGCGGATGCGGATGCCGCGCTGCTTCGCCACGTGTCGGCGTTGACCAGGTTGATGAACGCGTTGGAGATGGGCTCGATGAGCCCCTTGGCGATCATGGCGCGCAGCAGCCGCGTGTCCAGGTCCTCGCTGCTGCGCCCCGTGCGGTACGTCACCTTCACGTCCTTCACGCCCGCGCCGCCACTCACCAGCTGCACCGCCAGGCGCCCCAGCTTCTCCGCCAGCTCCACATACGGCGCCAGCTCCTCCAGCACCTGCGCCCACCGCAGGGGGGGATCCATGGCGGGAGGGGGGAGAGTGGGGGAGGGGGGGTGTGGGTTGAGAGGGGAGTTGAGCGAGGTTGGAGGGCGTGGTGGTACTGAACGAGCTGATCAGGTCGCAAATTGAATGCAACACATGCCACACACGTGCAACACATGCCACACGTGCCACACGTGCAAACACATGCCACACGTGCCACACGTGCAAACACATGCCACACGTGCCACACGTGCAACACATGCCACACGTGCCACACATGCCACACGTGCCACACATGCCACACGTGCCACACATGCCACACGTGCCACACATGCCACACGTGCCACACGTGCCACACATGCCACACATGCCACACATGCCACGCATGCCACACATGCCACGCATGCCACACATGCCACGCATGCCACACATGCAAAACATGCTAGAAGCCAGTAGCTGCGTGGCTCAAGTTGAGCTAATCCGTCACAAGCAGCACAGCACGCGTCACTGCACCCACAGCAGCCTCACGCTGTCTCTCCTCGCCTGCTCTCCAACCAAGCCCCGCACCCTGCTCCATCCTCTTTAATCCTGCCCCTCTGCTGCATCATTTTTACTGCTGCCCGCTCTGTTGTATGCTCTTTACACCCGCCACGAAGCAGCGCGAGTCACATGGCGAACGCGGCATGCGCACCAAAGCACTCCCCCAAAAAGCCCCAGTGCACGTCACAAGGCTCCATCGTGGGTATCCGCCTTCGCGCCCTGCCCGCATCCACCATTCCACTGCACTCGCTCCCACTGCACCAGTCCCCACCACCCATGCTGCCCCCGCATACCCTCCCCCTCAACCCATCCGCCTCGGCCCATCCCCCGTGCCCAATTCCCCCCTCTCAGCGCACCTCGGCGGGCACCATGGGCGCGTTGACGGCGGTGGACGCCAGTTCGCCCATCAGCGCGCCCACCACGGCCTCCGCGATCTCCACCGCCACGCCCTCCTGCGCAATCGCCAACGGGGGGGAGGAGGGGGTAGGGGAAGAGGGGGAGTAAGTAAGGGAGCGTCCAGAGGGGCGATGCGTGAGAGCGAGGGCAATGACGATAGCGAGGGCGAGAGCGCGGGCGAGGTGCGTACCTGCGCCTCGGTGGTGCTGGCGCCCAGGTGCGGCGTGGCGATGACATTGGGGTGCAGCACGAGCGCGCTGTCCGCCGCGGGGGGCTCCTCCGTGAACACGTCAAGCGCCGCCTGGGGAGCGCGCGGGGAAGATGCGCGCATGGGGAGGACGTTGGGGGAACGGGAGGACGACGCATGACGGGGAGAACGATTATGAGCGGGCGCGACGATTTGAGGTAGAGATACGAGCAGGGGCGGATCGAGACGAGGGAGGAGGATGCGTGACGGCCACAGCAGCTGTACAGAAATTGTACACACAAACTCGGAGAGGCAAAAACAAAAGACTCGCCGCACAAGCAAGGCTCCCTCGCATCAGCCTGCCGACGTGCAAAGCCGACCTGCGCCACCAGCCGAACCTGCGCCACCAGCCGTACCTGCGCCACCAGCCGTACCTGCGCACAGCCGAACCTGCGCCACCAGCCGTACCTGCGCCATCAGCCGTAACCTGCGCCACCAGCCGTCCTGCGCCACCTGGCCGTTGTCGAGCGCGCGCGACGAGCGCGTCCTCGTCGATGACCCGCCGCGCGCGCGCGTACGTTGACGATGCGCACGCCGCGCTTGGCCTTGGCGAAGGCGTCGTCGTTGAGCAGCTTGTCCGTGGCGGCCGTGAGCGGCATGTGCAGCGAGATGAAGTCGGCGCGCTGCAGCGCGTCGTCCAGCGACACCAGCTCCACGCCATGGCGAGCGCCCTGTCCGCCGGCGCGTACGGGTCGTGCGCGATCACGTGCATGCCCAGCCCCCTTGGCCCGGCGCGCCACCTCCGAGCCCACCTTGCCGAAGCCCAGCACGGCCAGCGTCTTGTCCACCAGCGACGTGCCGATGTACTTGCTGCGCTTCCACTCGCCTGCCACCCCGCCCGCCCGCCCACTCGCACGCACGCACACACACACACGCATCGGATGATGAGAATGGGGCACACTCGCAAATTGGAGATCCGCAATACTGGCGTCGTGAAACAAAAATTTTCGGGTTTTAGGACACACGAGACTCTTCCGTCAGGAACAAATGATGCGTCAAGCGCGAGAAGAAAAAGGGCACGCAAAAGAAAAACACTCCCATCCAGATTTGTGTGCGTGAGACTTTGATTGTGATTGTTGGCGAATTCGTGAATTTGGTTAAAATTTTTAGTCTCTAGGACGTCACATGCGCAATTCTATTCGGTGCAAGCGTTATGCCCACCTCGCTTCATGGACGCGTCGGCCTGCGCGATGTTGCGCGACATGGCGGTGAGCAGCGCGATGCCGTGCTCCGCGGCAGCGACCGGTGTTGGCGGTGGGCCGCGTTGACGACGAGGCAGCCCGCCTCCGTGGCGGCGTGCAGGTCCACGTTGCGATGCCCACGCCCGCGCGCCCCACCACCTTGAGCCGCCCGTTCGACGCCTCGAACACCTCGCGGGTGTCACTTGGTTCCGCTGCGCACGATGAGCGCGTCGCACAGCGAGATCTGGCGCACAGCTCCTCCGGCGTGAGGTTGTACGAGCAGTCCACGTTCGCGATCTTCTTCAGCAGGTCGATCCCCGCGCTGCCCAGCTTCTCCGCCACCAGCACAGTCGGCTTGCCCTCGATGTTCCTGTGCGCGGGGCGTCGCGCGCGAGCGGCGCGAGGACCTGGCGGCATGTTGAGGGAGGAGGTTGGTGGCCTTGAGCGGTTGCCAGAGAAGGAGGACTTGGGCAGGTCCGACTGAGCGCGCACTGGACGCTACGGGTCCGCTAGTCGCGTCTCTGTTGCAATGCCCGCAGCAGCGGCTTTGAAGGTCGACGGAACGGCTGCCATGAGTGCGGTGAGGTGCTAAGCTCCAAGAGTTACAAGGTTTGGGGGGATACGCGGCATGTCAGCCCTGGTAAGGTTCTTCGCGTTGCATCGAATTAAACCACATGCTCCACCGCTTGTGCGGGCCCCCGTCAATTCCTTTGAGTTTCACTCTTGCGAGCGTACTCCCCAGGCGGGATACTTAACGCGTTAGCTACAGCACTGTACGGGTCGATACGCACAGCGCTTAGTATCCATCGTTTACGGCTAGGACTACTGGGGATCTAATCCCATTCGCTCCCCTAGCTCTCGTCTCTCAGTGTCAGTGTCGGCCCAGCAGAGTGCCTTCGCCCTTGGTGTTCTTTCCGATCTCTACGCATTTCACCGCTCCACCGGAAATTCCCTCTGCCCCTTACCGTACTCCAGCTTAGTAGTCTCCACCGCCTGGCCAGGGTAAGCCCTGGGATTTGACAGCAGACTTAAGAAGCCACCTACAGACGCTTTACGCCCAATCATTCCGGATAACGCTTGCATCCTCTGTCTTACCGCGGCTGCTGGCACAGAGTTAGCCGATGCTTATTCCCCAGATACCGTCATGTCTTCTTCTCTGAGAAAAGGGGTTTACGACCCGTGGGCCTTATTCCCCCCACGCGGCATTGCTCCGTCAGGCTTTCGCCCATTGCGGAAAATTCCCCACTGCTGCCTCCCGTAGGAGTTCTGGGCCGTGTCTCAGTCCCAGTGTGGCTGATCATCCTCTCAGACCAGCTACTGATCGTCGCCTTGGTAAGCCATTACCTCACCAACTAGCTAATCAGACGCAAGCCCCTCCCTTGGTGGATTCCTCCTTTTACTCCTCAGCGTATGGGGTATTAGCCACCGTTTCCAGTGGTTGTCCCCCGCCAAGGGGCAGGTTCTTACGCGTTACTCACCCGTCCGCCACTGAACCAATAAATGGTTCCGTACGACTTGCATGTGTTAAGGCATGCCGCCAGCGTTCATCTGAGCCAGGATCAAACTCTCCATGAGATCCACAGTTCAAGCACGACTAGCTTCTTTCCTTCTTACACAGAGCTCATGCATCACCACCTCTCCTATGCCTCCCTCATGGACACATTTGGGTATCCTGGGATAAACCCAAAAGAGAGTTGAGACACAGTCTGAGTATATCCACTCCTGTATCCCTTGTCAACCCCCCGCCTCTTTGTTTCTGAGGACACAAAGTAACATACAAACAAAAACTTCCCTTACTACAATAAAGGACCTCCTTCTGGAATAGGAGGGCTGAACAAAGAATACAAATAAGAGAAATGAAGTCCAAGGGAAAAGGATCCACAAATTCTCTATATCTGCGATGTTTTTATCACATTAGTAAACAATAAAAAAAAAAGAAAGTTGACAGAAATATATACCAAAGAAAGATGCACACAAAAGAAAGAAAAATAAATAGATGTTTCTGTGTATATCTTTTGTATCTATTTCGCAAACCGTAAAAAGGAAGTTTTTTGTTTGTGGGGGGAGGAATCTAGTAGCGTCATTTGTTGCAGCATCATTTGGAACCATCCCTTTCCTTGCTTATTATATATTATGTCTAGCCGAGGGGTATATTAAAACAGTCAGCCATAATTCCATGCACTACGACATGAATTCGTAATTTAGTTCTTTTGCAATTCATCTTAAGAATGAACCACATGTATCATATGTATGTATGATAATATAATAAAACAAGATTCATAGAAACTTATAAGGAGAGGTGGCCGAGTGGTTGAAGGCTCCAGTCTTGAAAACTGGCGTGGTTGAAACAACTACCGAGGGTTCGAATCCCTCCCTCTCCGTGCAAAAAAGACTTACCCAAATTGATATATCAGGGAATTCCTGCATAAAAAAAAGGGGATTGGATCTTCTCTTAGAACAAATAGTGCATTGAAATGGAATAATTTTTCAACAAAAAATTAGCATATGGCAGAAAAACAGGTGCTAGTAACAAATAGTAAGTGAGAAAATTAACCGAACCTTCCATGCAGAACAAAGAATAAAACTCAGATATCTCTTAGACTCATAATTTCATAAAAACCCGATATGAAAAGAATTTGACAAACTCAACATAGAAATGCTTGAAAGAATAGAATTTCTTGAAAGATATGAGATGAAAAAAGAATTGCATATCTACACTCCATGGATCATCGGGCCACGGTCTTCTCTGAAATCCTGAGCACGAACTATCTAACAAAAGTGGCTTCCAAATAACAAAAGTCGCCAAAAATGTAGAATGTTATAAATTTTTCTGCAACTTGCTATAAGCACATACTCCCATGGTAATTAATTTCTCCGTAGTGATCTAAATAATCAAGAAATGAATATAGTTTTCATAACAACTAGCGGGTAACGGGAATCGAACCCCGTGCCTTCTCCTTGGCAAGGAGGAATTCTACCATTAGACCATACCCGCATACAATATCTATTGTAACATAAAATAGATCTATGGTCAAATCCTTTAATGAAATGTTTCATCGTAATTAAGAATACATTAAAACATATTGATTATTATTGAGGTTTATAAAAAAATACGATAGTTTGATTTATAAAGATATATCTATTGACTAATAGAAAAATATATCAGTATAATTGTATTCAAATGTTGATAAAATTCTTTTTTAAAGAAATTAAGGGCGGGCGTTGCCAAGTGGTTAAGGCAGAGGATTGTGATTCCCTCTACTCGCGGGTTCGAATCCCGTCGTTCGCCCTAGCTATCCAAATGATTGTCCTTCTATAGAAAGATTTTTGGTAAATTGAATCTGAAACAACATTTTTGATATTTCTAGATGATAAATGCATAAAACAATAAAATACATCAGTTATAAAAAAATCAGATTAAGGATTTTATTCTATCAAAGTCTTTTATGAATGTATAATTATTTCCAAATATTGGATAGCAAAGTTTTGTATTATCTATAAGTATTTTTATAATATGAATCGACTTAAGTAACGCATATAATTCATAATGCTTTCTATATAAAATAATAAAAAAAATATGGAATCTTCTACACAAAAATCTAAAGATAGATTAGAAATTATTGATCCCAAAAATGTAAGCCCTAATTTTTAACAAATATTACAACATGGAATTCTCATATATTAAATACTATTATTATTTTAATCCATTATCTTAATTATAAGATTGAAACATTGAATTCTAAATTACAAAAAAGAAATTTATGCCAAAATAACGAATTATATAAACTAATAGACCTTTTTTCGCAATCTCATACATTTTATGGTTAAAAACAGAATATATGGTCAACAAAGAAAAACATATTATTTTAATATCCCTTACATTTTTTCTATATTAATACTAGACCTTACTGAAAGTTTCAGAAAAAGAACAGTTTTTCTATATCAAACAGTTCTTATTTTCAGTCTTCCTGTACTTCTTTATCGTATAAATAACCAAATTCATTTTGGACAACATAAGAATTATTTACCATATATCATACTAGGAAAAAACACCTATTGTATCCTTAAAAGATAAATTATATCACGAAGAAACATCACAACCTCAATGGTTATATGTAAAGAAATTACAGCAAACACTCAATAACATTATATGTTCTAATAAACTCTTAGCAAATAAAAACATTAGAGAATCTTTCACCATTTCACCTGTTTTCAGAGAAAAAGAATCTAAAAAAAACACAATAACCTTATGAAAAAGATAAAGAGATAGGACAAAAAAATCTATTATTATATAAGGAAAAATCGAAGAAAATATATAAAAAAAGAATTTTTCTTTTAATCAGAAAAATCTTGAAAACAAACGCATATTGGAGATGTTGAAGAACATTCACTTAGGTAAAACCTACACTAAATTAAAATTGACCCCCATAGTGAATGATGAATGGGAAATAATAGATACTTCAGTAAGCTATAAAGAAAGAGATTCCCTGGAAAAAGTTACAAGAACGTCGCAATTCTACTTTTAAAGAAAACACTTCTATTCATTATTTGAAACAAAATCTAGTAACAATTTTCAATCCCTATTAAATCATTGTTATCTTTTCTTTATCAAACCAAAGAATTTTTCAAAGAAGAGTTTTAAATTACGTAGACTTACAAAATGATAGTCTAGATCATAAAGAAGAGCTTCAATATACAGGGAATTACAAAACAACAAAAGAAAAAAAATAAAGATAAAGAAAAATTTGTCAAAATTTACGATTACAAAAAAGATTTAGAAAAAACTAACGTAATAATACTTTATAAGAAAATACATAGACATACATTCTTTAATTTACTTGACTTTCAAAGAAAAATATGGAGATGGAAAACTATTGAATGGATAAATCTTTACAAGAAAAATAATAACATCAATTCCCAAGAGAAAAATTCAAAAATTTGGAATAATAGTTTCTTCAAAAAAAAAAAATATAAAGAATCTTATTAAATCTTATTGGATTTGGAATCAGAGAAAAAATCTTTAATCCATTAATTAATATTATTCTTTTTACAAATACTAACCACATTGGAGATGAAATTTCATGTTGGCATTCTATCGATTATAAAATCGTTAAGAAACATAAACAAGTATTAATAGAAAAAAGTAATGATCAACAATATGGATATTTACCAGATGAACTTAAAGATTACTATTCTTGCCAAGATTATAATATTGATAAAAAGGAGAGTGTAATTAATGAAATTAATTTACTAAATATGGCAAAACAATTGCATTTGCTCCGGCCCAAAATGTGATAGAACCCTTTGTGAAAACAGAATATAAGGAGACTTCAATAATAAAATAGTATATAAGAATATTATAAATCATACATTTGGGAATAGACATATTATCAATGATATCAAAGAGAACCAAATAT